CATAAACACCTGAGTGGGGCAGACCGAACTCAGTGTCCCCAGTGCTGACCCAAGGTGGGGGTGACACAAGCGACAGGGCAGAGCAGCGCCCAGGCAGTCCCTCCTTCTGGAGCCTTCTCTGGGCCAGCGGCAGACTGGAGAGGAGTGACTTCCTCCGTGGTGGATTCTCACTCATTACTGCTCAGCGAGGCATCGCTGACTACCCGCTGCTGCCTGGCCCACGTCTGCTGTGGAGCTCAGGGTGACCTGTGACAGACACTCCATTGAGTTGGAACACAGCTGGAGTGAGGGACACTGTGGGGTACCCTGGGTCCATCACCACACCAAGCACTAAAGAATGAGTCTCTAATTTAGTCCAGCCAGCCCTGTGGCTGATGTGGTTGTTCTCACTTTGGAGGCAAAACTGACAGAGGTTAAACCCATGTATCTTAACATCCAGGTAAGCGCAATAACATTCTTCTAGAACATTGCTCCAGCAAATTCCACCAAGTACTTTACTTCATTCCAATAAGTAATTGCCTCTGAACTACTGGGGCGGTGGTGATGGTGGTAAGGGGAAAATCCTGTTGAGTTTGGAGTCCATGAGAACTTCCTGCATTGATCAAAGTTATCACAGTTCCCGGCTACCCTGTTACCTCTTGGGATTCTACAAACTTCTATGTGGCGTCCTATTATATTGTCTGTTATCTATGTCTTACAAATGCTTATTTATATGCTAGAGATTCTTCCGAGTTTCCTGTGATAAAGTTGTGTACCAACAGTGCCTGGTATTCTATAAACAGATGCAAGCTGGGTGGCAAGGCAAGTAATCAGGAGCCGCGCCAGCTGGGTAATGCGTGTGAGGCCAGCTCTGGGTACCCAAAGTTGGTAGCTGCAACCTGTTATGAGGAACCACAAAGGCGGTGCCCGGCGAAGGGACGGGCCATGAGTCATCTCTAAATGGGCCCTGAGTGTTGATTCAGACAGCTTGTCTTCGACCTTCAAAGAGTAACACGGGTTTCCGAGCACACTTTGACTGTGTTGGTGGTTAGAGAGAGAAGTGAAATGGTCATAGGCAGAGGAGAGGGACAAAATATGAGACAGGACAGACCATTGGACTGACCCTAGCTGATGCTTCATTTTTTGTTTTGTTTTGTTTTTTGTTTTTGTTTTTGTTTTTCATTTTGGGACCACAGCCGGTGGTGCTGGGGACTTACTTCTGGCTCTGTGTTCAGGGATGGCTCAGGGCAGTGAGTGCTTGGGGGACCATATGCAGTGCCGAGGTTGTACTGGGATAGATGCAAGCAAACCTTAACCCCTTAACCTTAACCCCTTAACCTCTCCAGACTGACCTAGCTCCTTACACTGTGGGTTGCAAGCTCACATGGGGTTATGGAACTGAACAGAGGGGGTTGCTGACAATGTGGCAACAGAAAAAGGTTTCTGTGTTCATGCAAACACCAACAATTAATTCAAAATGAATGGCATAAGAAATTTCTAACAGCTTGTCTATGTTGCATTTCTTGGGTGAAAGAAGGCCATCAATAGAGAACGGAGAAGTAGACCTACCAGGGCCAGCATGCAAGGCAAAGGGCAATAGTTGCTCTTCTGAGACTGAAGAGGAAAGTTACATTAGAGTGTGGGGATATATTTACGAGGAAGGAAAACCCAAGGTGGGGTGCCCCAGTGATCTTGCTTTGTGGTGCAATGGGAGAGCTGAGTGTATGTTGTTCAAAACCCAATGGGTGGAGGACATGGAAAAGAAAGACTTGAATGATGAAGGTTTTGGATGAATGAAGTCGCCACAATGTGATTGGCATGTGGATGGTGGTGACGTTGGTTGAAACACACACATTTGTAATTAATCGAGGCTAAGATTTTCTTACACAAAGAAGGGAACTGCACTTGTGGTTTTAGTAGGAACTGATAGACTAGGAAGGGAAAATTAGAGCCAAATCCTAAAGTTAGTAGGAAAGCCAATTAGAAAGGAATTAAGGTCCAAGGAAGAATGGTTGGGAACCTTTACACAAGTATTTGTTCTCTTCTTGACTTACTTTTATTGAGGATCAATTGCATATTGGTTGTCTACTGAGTTGTGTAAGAGGAGGGTGAGTAAGCTCCTGCCCTGGGGTTAAGCATTAAACAGTGGCCAGGCTGTTACTAATTACTAAGGGATGCATGTGTATAAATATGCCTTGGAAAAACTGGTTCTAAATGATGCCAAGTCTGTCGTACTCAGACAATAAGAGAAAGAGAGGGGAAAAAAAAAGCAACAGTCAGACCGCTGGCATATCCAAAGAGTACAATGATATATGATAAATAGCCACTGACCCAACTGGAAGCCAGTAGCAGAGGTTAGAGGTACTGGGGTGACCCACTATCTTGGAAGAGAAGTTCACTCTCCTAGGAATCTTGGAATCCAGGTGGAAGCCAATCTTGGAGAAATGGCCCTCTCTAGGTGAGAGAGAGGGAGACTTTTGGTGTGGGGTCACACACTGCCCCACCCTATCACCTTCCATGCATCCCATGGGATCACAGGTAATTATGTGGTCTGGGGTAAGAGCCACTTTAACTGCTGCCATCAGATAAAGGAGTGAAACCCACCCATGCAGCAGCAGACGGGCAGGACTCCAGATCCTCAAGTCTGGCCAGCTGAGGGCCAGCATTAATAATTTTCTTATTTTGTGCGTGTGTGTGTGTGTGTGTGTGTGTGTTTGAGGGCCATACTCAGAGGTGCTCAGGGCTTATTCCAGAGATCACTCCTGGTGGGACTCAACAGATGATATAGGGTGAAGGGATTGAACCTGGACCTGCCTCATGCGAGGCAAGTGCCCTACCTGCTGTGTTATCTCTCTGGCCCTTGGTTCTTTATTGTTTAGATGTCCATTATTGCTTCTCTTCCTCAATCTAGACTCTGAGCCCCACCAAGGCAGTGTCCTTGTGCATCCTTCTGGTTTCCCAGGTACATAGTAGTTGCTCCATAAACTGCTGTGGTGTGCTGTGCTGAACCCGCATGCCCTGTGCTGTAGCAGCAGCAACACAGGAACTCCAGGGCAGCAGCATCTGGGTCTGAAAAAAGGGCCTGACTTTGTGATATAGAGTAAAAAGAGTATTCTAGAAAGAATGAGGCACCATTAATACAGGAAAAGAACATGGTATGAGAAATAATAAACTTTTTTTTTAATATCAGGACTTTAAAAAGTAGGCAGTGTTGCATTCCACTCTGGGACTGCCCACATGCCAAGTTGGGTTATGTATTTCTTCCTTTTTCTCCAACTTTTCCTCTTTTCTCTCTCCTCTCTCATATTTCCTAAGTAAAACTATTTGACTTCAAAAAACTTAAAGTATCAGCAGAGAGTAAATCTCCTTCCATACAGACTTACCCTGCTTTGTGCAGTAGATGTGAAACAGAAACGCAGCAAAAGCCAGTGAGCCCCTGAAGACAGTGGCCCAGCTGGTGGCCAGTGCAGCCCTCAGCACGGCACTAGTTCCCTGAACAACACCAGGAGTGGCCCAATAATACAATAAGAATATATTCAAAAGACCATGAAGTGAAATTCTTTTGTTGTATGGATAAACCCGTCCCAGTGAATCTCTCCAACAAGGCTTTACCTCTGAAGTGGACCAAGATCTCATCTTGGCCTAGCTTTGTTCAAGAAGCTGGGCCCAGAAAGTAAAAGGTAGCTGGAGTACTGAAAGAAAGGTCACAGTAACTAATTGTTTTAGTGGCAATTTTTAAAAATAGAGAATTCAAGACTCACGCTCACATTTTGGGAGTAGGGAACAACGACCAACGTTGGCCATGAAAGACCATCCCCACCCCAGTCCTGCTCGGATGGGTTTCACGGATGGTCACTAACTGGCGCTTTTTATCCCTGACCCCACGGAATCCGTCTGCACGGTAGCACTGGACTTTGGGACCACCATCCTCCATACAACAACTGAGGAACAGTTGTTGGCTCGAAAACCCACCGAGACGGGAACTGGCCTCGGAGTCCAGGTCCAGCAGCCCTTTGCTCCAATTGGAAGGAACATCTTGAGACACAGGAAGCCCTCATTCAAACGCAGAAGAGCAGAAGGGGGCGGGGCAGGTGTCCGAGAGGCCCGTGTGAGCGTGTGGGGGGGAAGGCGGGGGGCAGGGGGGAGACACAGGGACGGAGGGACCAGAAGAACAGAACCTTGGGCCAGTCCCTGGCGCGGGTGCAGTGATAACCCCCTCGCCCCAGTTGCCCCGGATCATGTGGTCTCTCATCCGCGGTCACTAATCCGGGGTCAGAACTGTCCGGAAGTCCTGGACGCGGCTCCACTGTGTGACCAGGTGGAACGACGGGGTCTCCCACAGGCGGGGGTCATCTGGGCATCGGAAAGCAGCGAGCGGCGGGGTGCGGGCGGAGGCTCGGTCCTCACGACCCCAGAGGCTGGGACTGAGCTAAAAACAAACTGGAGGGGTCCGGGTGCAGGATGGTGGGGATTAGGGCTGACCCCTGTTCGCTGTCCCAGAACCCCGCCAAACCCCTCTGAGCTCAGAGCCGGATGTAAGAAGCCGTGAGCACTGGGGATGTGGCCCTCCAAACAAAAGAAATAAATGAAAAGAAACCAGATTCACTTCTGGGCAATTCTGGGGAGAGGGGGGGACAAGAGGGACACCCCTGACCCCTTGTCCCAGGACGGCCCTGGGCCCCTTAGACTGCTCTCCCGCGGTCCAGCCTCTTTCAGTCCCCGGAGCCTGGGCATGGGGTGAGGGGTTGGGGCGGGGGCGTCACCCCAGCGCCGAGAATCTGGGGGATCGCCGCCTGCGCACCCAGCGCCGCCGAGTCCGCAGATTTAACCCTCTCGGCGCCCCGCGCCGCCCCGCACCCCAGCTCGCGGTCTGGGCATGCTCAGTGGCGGCGCATCGCACTCCCGGGGAAACCTCCGCGCGCGCCCCGCGCTGCTCCCGCGCTCCCCGAGCGGCTCCCGGTGCTCTTCGTGCTCCCGCCGCGGCTCACGGTGCTCCCGCCGCGGCTCACGGTGCTCCCGCGCTCTCCGCGCAGCTCGCGCCGCCGCCCAGCCGTGGGCCCGGGCGCAGCCGCCTCGCTCAGACCCAGATTCGCGCCGCCCCCGCGACCCGCCCGGCCCGGCCCGCCTGCGTCCCGCCCGCAGCAGCTGAGCTCGCGGCTCCAGCGCCGGCCAGGGTGATGGGCACGCGACGGCCGCGACCCGAGACCTGCTGAGTCCAGGTGAGCCGCCCGGCGGGGCGCAGGGACCCGGGGGCGGGGTGATCGAGGGCTGCCGTGTCCTTGCAGAGGGAAGCGGGGGTGTCGGGGAGGCATGCCAAGGCGCTGCGAGGGTCCCCGCACCGTCACCCTTTCTCACCAGGCGTCCCCCGCCCCAGATCGACCCTCACGAGGCGCTGCGGGACGGAACGCAGCGGGCGCTGGAGGGGGCGGGGAGGCGGGGACCCGGGGCGCGCGCCTGGCCGGGGCGCGGGGTCGGCTCGGGTGCCGGGGTCCCGCTGCCTCCCCAGGGACTGGGGGGGAGGGGACCTGGACGCAGCAAGCACGCAGGTGCGGCCCGAGGGGGCGCGCCGTGCAGCCTCCAAGTGCGCCCGGCCGAGCTCTCCGCGCGGCAGGTGCAACGGAGGCAGAACGGGGGCAGAACGGGGGCTGGCGGGGCTGGGGCTGGGGGGCGGTTACGGCTAGGATGAAGGGGCGCCCGGGTGCGCGTCTGCCCTCCAAGTGGGGGCGCGCGCTGCCCTCCTCTGCGCACCCTGGTTTCTGCTCAACCTCTCAGCGGCCGAGTCCGGTGACACCTTCATGAATATTGCAGGCTCGCAGGCTCGCTCGCGGGGGATCAAATTTAATGTATGTTTGTCAGCCGTGGGGCCCTAGAACTTGGGGTCTGGAGCTTGGCGAATCCCGCTGCGGACCCCGCAGCGGCTGGGAACGCGCGCGGTGCAATTGAGCGGGCGGTGGACCGGCCAGTGCGTGGAGTCAGGGGACCCGCCGGCTGGCGTCCAGGCTTTGTTCTGCGTCTCTGCAGTATGTGCGCGCGATAAGCCGTCTTTACCTGGAGCTGCCAATATGGTGGCAGGCAGGTAGGGTGCTGGCTGGCGTTGGGGTAGACGTCCTAATTCACTGGCCTCTTGCGACGTCAGGTAGTTCCAGAGCACTTAGTCATTCCCTACCTCTAAGTTGTGTCAGGTCAGTAGAGTTGGAATGTAGAGGAAGGCGCGCTTATATCTTTCTGCATTGGGAGATGTTTCCCTCTCCGTGATTTTGTCTTGGGGGTCTGAGATGAATGTCTTTCCTCCTTGCAGCCTCAAACATGGAAGGCAGGCATTAAGGTAGGAAACTTTTCTGGATCAGAGCAAGTCGTCTTTCCTTTCCCCTTGGAGGTATAAACTTCCCAGCCCTGCCCCAAGCACCAGTAAGCCTGCACACACAACAGCTTGTGCTGGAAAACAGTACTTACTGGCATAAGAAACCAGCTCTCCCCATCATTAGCGAGTCATTTCTGTTCTAAAAATCTGCCAGAGGGCCGGAGTGCTAGTACAGCGGATAGAGTGCTTGGATCAGCAGATCCAGATTTTGGATCCCGAAACCCCATAAAGTCCCCAGAGCACTGCCAGGAGTAATTCCTGAGTGAGGAGCCAGGAGTAATCCCAAGCATTGCCAGGTGTGGCCAAAAACTGAAAAGAAAAGAAAAATCTGCCGGGAATCGTTCTGTTGACGAGGAGGGCACCTGGTCTGTCCAGGACTGACCAGAGGTCAAAAAGACAGCGCCCTTCTCTGCATCATCCTGCCCGAGGTGAGCACTGTCTTGGCAGATGTTTTCCGTTTAGCAAAGGCTTTGCCAACAAAGACCCAGGCGGTTACATCACATCACTGGCTCCACCCCCACCCACCAGGCTGAGTTTCAGCCTGTGAATGAGGACGAGCTGTCTCCCCGAGCTTGATTACTGAAGAGAGGGAATCTCAGAATGAAAGGCTTAGCTCCCTTTGATTTATTGAAATTTTTATTTGGTTTTTGGGCCCCATGTGGCAGTGTTCAGGGGCTACAACTGTCTCTTTACTCAGGAACTACTCCTGGAGATGCTCAGGGGACCATATGTGGTACCCGGGATTGGACCCAGATCAGCTGAACCCAAGGCAAGCCTCCTGCTGTGCTGACTCTCCACCCCTTATTGCCCTTCCATGCTTTGCTAGTTTAGCTGAAAACGTGAGATTTTTCTCTCTCTCTCTTTTTTCATTCTTTTGTTTTGTCTTTTATTTGGGGGCCACACCCAGTTGTGCTCAGGGCTTACTCCTTCTTTGCACTCAGGGATCACTCCTGGCAGGCTCAGGGGACCATGTGGGATACTAGAGATTAAACATGGGTTGACTGCATACAAGGTGAAAGCCCTACTCACTGTACTCTCTGCTCTCCATGTAATTTCAAAAATTGTTCATTGCTATCATTTGTATTTTAGGGCCACACTTGGTGATGCTCAGGGCTTACTCCTGGTTTTGCATTCAGGGATCTCCCCTCGCAGGGTTCAGAGGACCATTTTGGGTATCAGGTGCAAGTGCTTATCCACTGTATTATCTCTCAAAATTGTTCATGATTAATACATGTCACCAGGCCTTAACTCAGGCAGAGTAATAACTCCCTGTCAACTTTCCAAGAGATTTTGGGTAACATTACAGCACTCTTTGGACTGAGATGATTGATTAATGGTATTTGGAGGGAATTATATACTATCAGTGAAACAGAAACTTTTATTCAATAAACACCATTTCCTACTGTGTTATTAAGATGCTTAGAAATAAATCTAGCTGCCTTATGGACACAACTCTGGCCCAATGGGAAGTTTGCAAAGAGAGGAGACAAACCTTCCAGCCCTCAGAAGAGTTGATCATGGACTCCTCTGGGAGTCCAGGAATCTGGACTGCTTTAAGTCCAGAATCTGCTTTAAGTCCCTGGAATCATGGTCAGATTCAGCAAAACACCAGGCAGGTTACCTAGTTAAGATTGAATCTCAAGCCTTGAGTAACTGTGTCCAGGGTCTGTCCAGGTATCTGTCCTGCATACCATTCGGGATATGCTTTTCCCTATGCCATCATTTGTTGTTTCTCTAGAAGTCACCAGGACCGGACAGGCAGCAGTTTACCTGGCAACTCCAATGACTGGAGATCCCTCATTTCTCCTTTTTGAGTCACTGGTGGATTGAAAAATAAAGTCGAAAGGAGCATAAATCATATGCTGCTCCCCAGACAATCTGGGACAAGCTCGGTTCTAGTTCAAGTGATTAAAATAACCCACACTTAAAAGTGAGTGGTTTCAGTCGGAGAGGTATTTGCTGGACTGGAAAGATACTGCAACGGTTTATGCATGTGTCTTGCAAATAGGAAGCCAGGGTTCGAGCCATGGCACCCTGAGCATTGCTGGAATCTACCCCTGAGCACAGAGCCAGGAGTAGCATCTGAGCACCACTAAGTGTGGCTCCCTCTAGAGGTAAATGAAGATATCTCTGCTGAGTGTCACTGCTTGTTAGGGTTTAGAGATAAGTTGAGGGGTCTCCGCAGTTTTAATAGATGAACCCGGCAGTGCCCAGTTTGCAGGGATTCCCACCCCGAGCCCCGACTCAGAGTACAGGGAGCATGGGGAGGCCAGGTGCAGGCAGGGGGTGAGGACCACATGCATCAAATTTATTGGGTTTGAAGAGAGTGAGATCTGATCCCGGGAGGAAGGAAGGAGAATAACCCAAGGCTCTCCCCGAAAGACGCAACCAGCAGCTGAAGGCCTTTTCCCGAGTCTCAGAAGATGGTCTGCTGAAGTCATGGAGGGAGAGAGGTATAGAAGTCTCTAGGAGGCTGGAGCGATAGCACAGCGAGTAGGGCATTTGCCTTGCACACTGCCAACTCAGTAGATTCCTCCACCCCTCTGGAGAGCCCGGCAAGTTACTGAGAGTATCTTGCATGGCAAAACCTGGTAAGCTACCCATGAAGTATTCGATATGCCAAACACAGTAACAACAAGTCTCACAATGTTACTGGGCTGCTAGAGCAAATCGATGAACAGTGGGAGGACAGTGACAGTGACAGTGTCAGGGGGCCTCAGCGATAGCTCAGTGGGAGAGTGGGACAGGGCCTAGTTGGCAGGGAGGAGGTAAAATATCTGATCCCCAACTCCACCCCAAAGGTGTGCGCTTTCTGGCGTCTCACGACCAACACGTGTGTGAGCATGACAAGGAAAGCGGTGGCCCAGCGACAGTTCTACTGAAAAGTGCGCAAATGCTGCAGTCAGGCGCGTGGGGTCCTGTCCATCACAGCAGCAGCAAAGCGATAGCAATGGAAAGAAGTGGAAATGAATGGATTGTTTAATTAAAAGTAGAAGGAAGGCTTTAAATTGTTGTGGGTGAGGACGGAAGAGAGATCTGACCAGGGAGAGGGCTGGGATTGGTAACTGATGTGCGAATGCATCTCATTGCATTCTAAAAATATGCACTTCACCAAGGATGCACAAATGGCCCATAGGCACAGACCCCAAAATGCTCATTATCACTTAGTACACTTAGAACTGTATCTGCAGTCCTTGGCCAAGATCCAGTAATATTGAGACTAGATTAAAGGCTTAGATGTTAGGATCAAAGCAATCAGAGGCAAGCACTCCCTGATACCAGCTTCGTGGATGCCAGTGACTCAACTCCTTTGTAAGGAAAATATAAAAATACAAATAACTAAATGGGATCACATCAAACTAACAAGTACTCTGCAGTACAGAAAAAAACTGATATGAAAACAAAAAGACATCCCACGAATTGGGAAAAAATAATCATACCCTATACATCTAACAAAGCACTAATATCCAACATATACAAAACACAGGAAAATCAACAAAAAACAAACCATGAAAAAAATAATAGTGGGGAGAAGAGCTGAATAGACTCTTATCTGAATATGGCAAACATATGACTAATAGGGAAATTAAAAGTTGCTCATACAATCAAATGAGCAATCCCCTCACACAACTGAGAACGAACTCTGTCAAAAGAACCAGGAGTATGCAGAGTTATCAAGGATGTGGAGGAAGAGGAGCCTCTTTTCACTGTTCCTAGGAGTTAAAACTAGTTCACTTATCCTGGAAAATAGTTTGTAGAGTTCTCAGTAAAGTAAAAATAGAACTGCCATGCAGTCTAACAGTTCCATTACTAGGTAACTCTCCAAAAAGCACAAAAACACTGAATTGAGGACTGGAA